TATTAATAATTTACTAGTTATGCCTAATAGAAAAGGATTATTATAGTAACACTTTCTTTAATAAATTTGAATTTTTTTTCTCTTTCATGTCCTTTAATATAGAGAGGATTATCCCTCCATTTATAAATAAATAGTTCCTTCTACTTTTTCCAACTAGTGTTTTATAGAATATATCTATCTTAAAATAGCATAGGCCAATGTTTATAGCAATATATCTTAATATATTCCTATTGTTGTAAATTTTATATTTAGTTAACTTTGTAAAAATTGAATTAACAATTAATAAAGATCACAATTTGAAATGCACTTCACAAAAAAAAAAACAATATAAAAAAGACTTGCTTCAATGAAACAAGTCTTAAAAACTGACTATTACATAGTGAAAATATATGGAATGTTCTAGTTATTAATAATATGGACTTTATAGAATAAACTTATGTATATGAAAATATTTTTGATACTATTTGTAGAACTGCTTATACTATTTTGAGAATAGTATTTCAGTTTACTATATCAATACAATTGCAATATTGTCATTACATGAATAATGACAATAGTATTGAAAATAAAAATCTATAAATCCTAATATCTTTCTTACATTGGCTTTTACAAATAATCTTTTGTCTATTTATGAAGAAACCTTTCAAAAATTTTTAGCAATACATTTTAACAATTGAAATGCCAAAGATTTTTTTAATAAGATTGTACAAAAAGTATCAATTGAATATTAGGTACCACCTTCAAATATAATTATACTTTGACCAGAGAAAAATTCAAATTGTGATATAAATGTTTATGCCACTTGTGATATGTATTATAATAATGTAGGAATAATCAATACTGGATGCCTAAATATTGCATGTGATGAAACAATTTTTTATTGATTAATAATATACAAGGAAAAAAAACAAAATGTAAAATCTTTACTAGATCAATGACATATATCTCATAATATGTATAGTGTATTTATAAATATCTTTTCAAGTTATGGAATTGCCAGCATGGCTATAAAACTTGAAGTTCAGTTTTTAAATAAATTAGAAAAAGTTGTTGATTATTATGTCACATGTCAAGTGCTGGAACTAATATGGATAGCTGTGAATATAGCAATTTTTTGATATTTATGCAAGGAAAATCAAACAGTAAATAGTATCAAGAATAGAGAAAACTTTGTACTCAAGGTATAGTACCACTATTTTTGTTAAGCTGGTTATTAGATTGGCCATAAGATTAGTATTTGTTAGGAAAACTATAATATGCAAATAACAAATCTTATAGCTTTTTTTCTACTTTTTTTTATTGCTGGAAAAAATAATTATGTCAAATCTGTAATCTATTTTTTATATTATATTGAAGATGATCCACATCTCCAAAAATTACTTTAATATATTTGTTTAGTAAATCTTACTTGTTTCAAACATTACTTTGGATTTGATAAAACATTAAAGAGATTTAATATTATGTTTATAAAACAAAATATTGGAAGAAGAACAGTGAATACCAAGAAATTAAAATTACAAATAAGTTCTACATAAGTAGAAAGAGATCACTTAAAATTATTAATATCTGAATATTTGGATGATACAATTATAATTAGAGAGAAATGAGCTATAAAATTACAAAAAGAATATTTATGAAAATTGACAAATGAGTTATATAATGCATTTTTATTATCAGATCCTAGTATACATAAATCTTTTACAAATGTTTAAGAAATAACTTCAGCAGGATTTTCAAGAATATTTGCTTGTTATAATTTGGGCATAGTATGACTTAATACAATTTTGTATCAAGATATATATAAAATCAATATTTGTAATATAAAAGGCTATCATGCATGTAATATAGTTATACATAAACTATAAATTCCATTATTAGAACATTGAAGTAAAAATAAAAAAGGACAAAAATGTGAATATATAGATTAAAGTAAAAATACTAACATTAATTCTGAGCAAAAAAATGGCACAAAACAGTAACAACAATTTACAATTGACAATGAAAAGAAAATAATTGAACAAATTCTTGTTTATAATATCTTTTCTGAAAATATGGTAATTGAAGTTTTATGGCAACTTCAAGATTATAGTAATGATTAGAATAAGTAACATATTAGAATATATTGGAATAATTATTATAGTAAGCAAAAAAAAAATTCCAAAAAAAATACAAATTAGCTAATTATGATTAAATTTATTATTATATGATATAAGATTATCTTGTATATATTATATATATTAAAAAATATTAAAATTTTTAATAAAATTTTAAAATTCTTAAATAATTATATATTTAATAAATCATTTTTTAAAAAATAAAGTTATATAATTTAAATCCATACATATATTACAACTTAGCCCTTAAAAAATAATAATAATAATAAAAAATAAATAAAGTTATATAATTTATAATTATTTTTAATAAAGAATATTTATTTTAAAAATTTATATTATATATTTATAATTTTTATTAAAATTTTTTTTATATTTTAAATTTATATTATATTATACATTATAGGATATATTAATTGACTGATAATAAATCTTTTATAATTTTTTTATAAGCTTAAAATTTTTATTCATTTTTATATTTAATTTTTTTAAAAATTTTTCTATAGTAAAATTTTATTCCATCCATATTTTATATGTAAATTTATATGTAAATTTTATAATACATTTTTTGAAAATTTTTTTTGAATTCAAATCAATATGTTTAAATAAATTTATTAATTAAGCATTAATAAAACTTTAATATTTTATTTATTAGGTTATAAAAAATACATTTAAAGTTTTATTTCAATTAAATTATTATTTATTGAATTATAATAAAAAATATCAGTCCAATTATTTTTGTTACATACTGTACATGTATTGAATATAATCTATTGATAATAAATTATTTGTTAAAAAAAGTGAATATAAAATTAAATAAGTATTAACTTTTAATAGATAAATAAATTATAAATATTTAAATTATTATAATTATTAATAAAATATTTATTTTTATTTTGCTTATACTGTTTAAATTTATGAAATTATAGAAACAATTTTTATTGATTTTTATATTTTTAATTAAATTTCAATATTGTTTTTGGAATTCATAAACTATTATTAATTATTACTAATTAAATAAATATATAAAAAATTTAATTAATAAAATCATTGAAATATTATTATAAATAATGTTGTAGGGAAAAATGATGAATAAATAATAAGAAATTATAAAAGTAAGTACAGTATATTAGGTATAAATGATATATCAGGTATAATAGGTATAATAGGTATAAAGTAAAAATATATATAAATGATCTAAAAATAATTCAAAAAGTAAAAAAAACCAGAATAGGTACTGTGCAATTGTTAAATAAAAACTATCTTTATTTGATAAACTATTGTCTTGTGATTGATTCCAATGTTATGTAGCTAATATAATATTAATGGACTGATCCATGTCAGCGTTATAAACTTTGGCCAAATTCATATATCTCTTTTAAGTAAAAATCACACCAATTATTATATAATATGAAACAAATCAAAGCAATTAATTCGCTGTAATTTTATCACAACAATAGATTTAAACAAGTTTGATATTATAAAGTTAAATTATTAAAATTTAATTAACTATTGTAATTAATTATATTAAATTATTTGAAAAAATAAATTAATTTTGATTATTTTATAAATAATAAAATAATATAATATCATATATTAATAAAAAATAATTAAAAAATTTATTTAAATATAATTTTAAAAATAAATTTGTAATATTGAAAATTAATATAAGAATAATATTAATAATTTTTAAATAAATAAATATATATATATATATATTATAAACTTTTTTATATATAATTCAAAAATAAGTAAAAATTTTTAAACTTTCTTAAACTTTAATTAAAAAGTATAATTTATTAAAACAATATTATAAAGTATTTATATTTTTGAGCTTATAACATATATAACACATAAATCAAAAAAGTAAAAAATGGTTTTTTCAAAAAAAATTCTTATAAAAATATTTTTAAATAAAAAACAATATAATAATAATAATAATAATAAATAAGATATAATTAATTTATAAGTAAGTTGTTATTTTTAATAATTTTATAAATTGATAATTGAAATAGATATTTGATTATTGATTATTTTTTTTAATATATAATTTTTGTTTTTATAAAAACACTATTATAAGTATAAATTTTTATTAATAAACATATGAATTATAATATTGTAGTGTTAGGTAAATATATAAAAATAAAAGTTTTATTTTATCTTATTTATTTATTGAATGGATATTTAATTATTTTACGTTTTATAATAACTATATATTGTGAATATTGATTTGTTTTAATTTTAATTTTTTAATTTATTTATTTAAAATTGATGTCATTATTAAAATGTAATATATCGCAATATCTTTTTACCAAAAAACATTAAATTAAATAATTTATTGAAATTTCACATATATTGTAACTAAATTTAAAAATATGATCGTATTAAAGTTTCAAGAAAAAAGGTTTCTAAAAAAAACACAATATCTTGGTTTATAAAATTATATTATACTACTTCTATCTGCTCCTACTATAGTATCAATTAAATTAATTATAATGTATACTATTGATTGAATTAGAGTACTCATCAGTTAGAATGACGTATACTTCAATGATAGATCTGATTAAACTTCTTATACAGTAAAATCAGCATTTATTATGCATAGAATATGTAAACATACAAAGATGAATTAAAAGATCTGAAAGTAGATTTTGCAATGTCGTGATAAGGTGAAAAATTGCAACATGAATGGATACGAAATCGGGGAAACAAAATAACATCAAATCATTTCTACGTGATAAATGTGCGACATAGCTGTAAACATTTAAACATATCAAAACTATGAATTAACATTTCTCTTGATCAAAATTTCAGTTTTACGCTTCTATGGTTAATAAACAAGATCATTATTATATAGTATCCGTAAATTTAAAGCAAAAATCGGGATACTCACCAATATTCCAAGTCAAAAATCGAATTATGAGGTTCGGTCTCAACATTGAGGCAACCATTGGCTGCTGATCTTAAAATCTCCACCACATAATCAGCACCTGACGACCACCTCATCTCCAGTTTCACTAATTTCGGAAAACGACTCTCGTAAAGAAAAGGCTTTGAATCATTTTTCGGTTCGAATGTGCAATGATTGAATTGTATCTGCTCTAAATTTCTCAAAGGAGCCATGTGTTTGAACAAGTCAAGGTCGTAAAAATAAACTCTTTCGAATGATAAATACTTTAAGGTGTCAGCTTGGCTCTCAATTGACGCCAGCAGATACTCTAACCCCTCTGCACAAGAGCACAATCCAAGATACACTAAACTTTTTTGTGCCATGATCAAACCAGCCAGAGATATTGCTTCTTGTTCAACATAAGGTCTCTCTGCTATTCTGCCATTATAACACCAATGATAAACTCTATAATCCACTCTCACTACTATTTTCTTCAAGTTTCTCGAAACTGGAATTAACGCCGATAACAATTCGGTTTTATTTACACTTCCTGATGGCATGATGAGTTCGGTAAGTTGAGACAAACAATTATTTGAGCCAATACTCTTTGTAATGGTTTGGTAGTAATTACAAAGGTTCTTGCTTTGAAGTGACTCACATGCTCGTTCGCGAACGCCCCTTGTAATACAATCAACGTCTATCGATAGTTTGCAAAGCCCTGTCGAATGATTCATAAACAATTTGCACAAAATATTTATAAAATCATTGTAATCATCTGCTTCATCCTCATGTTCAGAACGCTTCGATTCAGTACAGTCCCGAATGGCAGTGAAAAATTCGTGTAAATCTAAGTTTTGCAAGAATTGAACATAGTTGAATAGAGGTTTTGTCACGGGTTTTGAAATGATGTTCACCAATTCCTCGTTATGTTGATAATAGAGTGCACATGATAAATATGTAAGGAGTAAATTTTCGGCCTGCAATTTTCTTTTCTCCTCCCCACATATGCGATTCTGATAATTACAAGTATACAGAAGTCTGAATGGTTGACTCCATAGGATCCGCACAGTTTCGCTACACCAGAGATAATTAACGAAAAGACAGGAATGTAAAGTTTTTTTATCAATTTTAAGATGAATTAAAATTGAATGGATACATTCAGCCGGTATCGTCGAGGGCATTATCTAAATTTTTTTTTTTTCCGTAAAATTTTTTTTCTGAATAATAAATAAGAAAAAATTCACCGTATCAGAGATTTCTTTACATAACTAACTTGAATTATACTCTAAATGAATTGACTAAAAAGAATAAGAAAAAATGCATATTAATTGAATACTGTATATGCGTAATATGTTTTAATCGTAGCCAATAGAAATTTATATTTTTGAAAATCATGATTTTAAAATTACGTAATGATTGAATGACTTCATAACTCCGCGAAAGGGGCGTGTATATTTAATTATTTGATCGTTCACGTGTTCGCGGCGATTTAATACAAAAAATAATTATATAATAAAATATACATGCAATAAATTTACTGTATACAAATAATTTAATTTAAAAGTATATAAAATATATACAGTATGTCTCATATTTATTTGTAAAAAAATTGTCAGCGATCTGTACATATACAACTAACCAAAGTTAGAC